GGGATTACATATTGCCTTCTTGAGAATAAAATATTCGACTCCGCTGAGCCGGAATAAATACTAGGAAACTGCTTTGATGCACTAGCTTTATAAGACCATAAATAACGAAGCATTATACGACTTTTATTTATGTTTATCGTAAAAAATTTATGGATCTAATCAAGTTACACAGATTAAAATAAATTATGAAATCATTACAAAAACCGTTTTACTTGTGTATTAGCTATTAGCGGTAGGCCTTTAATTTAAACAAAATGCCCAATAGAAGAAAACGAAGTTCAGAACAAAGTGATGCACTGAAGTAACATGAGATAAAATTTATACCCTTTTTATTTCCTTTTAGATTCAAGTCTAATCATTCATATTATAAAAAAGATACGATGAACCTCCGAAGTTCGATAAACTTCCGGACATTCCTCGTCGATTTAGCAGAATTATGCGTTTCGCAGAGCTAAAGAAGAAGAATGCCACAAATCTGACGCAAAAAAAGCGAAATAAAAACCAAAAAGTTGAAGATTCGGTATTTATTTTGCTATATAAATATTATTCAGGAGAATCTCGAATTTTGGTTCATAAACTTCGTTTTTGATAATAATAGAAGATAATACAAAAATTGCCAGGAGAGACTATGTTCGATTTCAGCAGGTGGATTCATTTTCTTTAGAATATTTGCAGAGTGATATAGGCGAGCAAATTTGACCTTTTTGAATAGGCGACTAGATGATCAGATGCGACCGAATATATTGAAAGCAATGAAAGAAGGTTCTACCGCGAAAAATAAAACAAGAAGGTGGTAGCTCTTGCCATATGAGTTGGAATGTTATTTACTTGAGTGATTTTTACATATTGTATAGATACCGTGAGAAGCTTAAACAAAAGAAATTGAAAAAGAGGAATAAACTTTATGAGGAGTTGGACGCTAAGGATTTTGGAAAATTTAAAGATCCTGTCAAATTTGGCGAAGTTGTACAGGCACCTCCTAACATAACTGCAATTCCAAAAAATAGAGGAAGTAATGCACGCGTGAGTTCAAAGGTGTGAATGAAAAATGAGTTGAATGCAACACCTATAATTAATTACACATTTCGACATTTTATGTAGATGTCGTCGAACCCCAATTCTCAAAAATTAGATGTTACCAATGAACTCACGCTGATAAAAGAAAAGAACAAGCAAGATCGACGGCAAATGAACCCAGGAAGGAAACGTCTTCTGGAAGTAGAGCGCGAAAAAATTGTGGCACAATATCGAAAAATGAAAATGAGAAAAATGGCATTGAATAAATTATAACTGTTTGCCTATTATAACTACCTTTGTTTATCTTGAATATTAAAATATTTTAATTAGTAATAATTATTTATTTTAATAATGATAAAGCTATTGGTTATCACAAATTATATACCCTATATATGTATATATGAAGTTAATTGATTTAAATTAATTTTCTATTAACATTTTTGAATTTAATAAATTGTTTATACATAATTTTAATTTTTTTTTAACTTGACGGTTTTCATTTTCACAATATAAAAAACGTATGATATAATGGTTTTCGCTAGTTAACTAGTCTACTTTATTTCAAAAAAGTCATTGTATTTAAAATAATTATTTTTTTAAATATTATTTTCTAAAATAGTATAAGGCAATTAATTGTATTAAAATCAAAGATAAATAAATTATTATTATGAATTAAGTAATTATACAGTGTGTTAGTGAATTTAATGGAATTATTATTGCTGGTTGAAATTTCAGGAAAAAATCAAGCATAATACAACAAAATAATTAAAATTTGCATTAAATTATCTCAAAATTATATAACCATGATGCTTTATACGAACCAACCTATTGTCTCTTAAATTTTCCTTGAGGTCGAGTTTAAACTTATCAAAAGTCAGGTGATCGACACACCAGTGAAAATTCACTTAAAATTAAGTGAGGCATATCACTTATGGCATTTAAATCATCCTTATATAACAGATTTAAAATACATCGTAAAAACGCAACTTAAATTTTAATTTGTGTACATACTATGGTTTAAATAATGATATTCGAAAGTTGTATTGCCAGTAAAGTCCAAACAGTAATCTCATGGACGATGGTTCCTTAATATCCATGCGAATATTATTATATTATGCGTGTACATTTAAAAAGAACATTACAAAGACCTCGGTGATTCTACTATATACAGTTTGGACTACCATTAAAAGTGAGATGATGAGTGAAAAGCCAAAATTCAAATATTTT